GACTTTAAATCTAGCATCAGCTGACTCCGTCCAGCTTGCTCGGACCAGCAGCAAGTTTGTAGTGCAGGATCGATTTCGGCGGAATCCGTGTTGCTGTGGCACTATGATATTGTTGTTCTCCAGATATCCCATCAGCGCCTCCGCAATTATACGTTCCATTACTTTGGATAAAACTGGGAGGAGAGTGATTGGACGGTAGTTCGACGGCTCCGCACGATTACCGCTTTTGTAAATGGGAGTGACTAACCCATGTTTCCACATTGTGGGAATCAGCATTTCGTCAAGACAACGTTGAAAGAACCGAGCTAATGGTTCGGCAATGTTTAGGGCCGCTGCCTTCAACTCCTTCGGTTTAATATCGTCTACGCCTGGCGAGCTGTGCACACGCAACGACATTAGCGTTTTCAACACATTGGTTGCCGTGAACGATCCGTTGTGTAAACCTGGGAACGGTGAGAGCTCTGTCAAAATCGGGTGAAGGGATGGTTCACTCCGGAAAGTATGGAGGAAGTGTTGACGAAACACGTTGGCCGCATCCTGTGCGCTTTGCGCATGACCATCTGTTGCACGCAAGACCGGGATCCCGCGCTGCACTCTACTGCGTTTGTTGATATGTCTATACAACAGCTTTGGATTCTTGCTGAATTTCGCCGCTAAGTTCTTTTGGTGCTGGAGTTTGTCTTCGCGAATCAACTTGACGCAGTGGTTTCGTTGAGTTGTGTAGACTCCCCAGGTCAGATTACTTGGGCAAACTTTGTAAGCGTGCCAGGCCGAATCCCTTAAGGCCATAGATTTTCTCGTACGGCTTCTTAGGAACGAATCCACTTGCTTCGGTCGAAAGGCCTTGCGTTCTGATGCATTTGCCGCTAGCTCAGTGAATTTGGTGACAAACACCATCCAAGCCTCATCGGGCGGATTCTCGGTCAGGAAGGACCAGTTGGTGTCTTGTACAAGGTTAGACAAGATGTCGTAATGTGTAACCATATAAGTTTCCTCGTCGTTCTCTCAAACGTACTCCGTATAACAGATGTAATGAAAGTGCAACGTCGCGTGATCACTACGACCTTGTGGTGTAGCTATGATAACGGTGTCAATCATTAGTTCCTCGTTGGTGAGCACAAGGTCCAAGACAGAGGCAGTGACTTTATTTAGCGACGGGTCACTTCCGCCACGTCACAGTGTTGTTAAACGGACATATATGGTTTATTATAGGGAGAACGCTTGTCAGGCGAAATCTCACCACGTCCTGGAATACTGCCGCCGACCCATTCGCTGGAACGGGAAAATCCCGAACCACCCAGCTGGCACCACGCGGAGGTTGTTTGGCAAGCCAGCCAAAAGATGATGAACACGTTTGGTTGGATACCCATGTTGACATGGCTAGGAACGGACCTCATTGGCGTTCGTGTTGTGTTTCTTTGTCCCTCCCTATCTTTCTAAACTTCCCTCTTCAACCGCGATCTCATTAGGTATGATGTGACTTTTTGCGACACACGAATTGACTGTTTGCTCTCCGGGACAATGTCCACCCGTCACTAGTGACAGCCGGCGTACCACTGTTGCATTTTTCTTCCTTTCTTATTATTTCGACATAATAACAGGTGTTTTCCACCTCTAGCTTATCTGTATAACGAGACGACACATCCCAGACTGTCTATAGTGCCATACTTTAATTGACGGCTTGCGTTTGGTAAGTCGTTGCTCGTGGGGGGGCGGTCATTGTCCGGGGTATGCGGGTTAGTGTCAAGGACTCCAATCCCATCGACTTCCTCGCTGCACTGGAATCAACGCTAAGGTCATACAACATCGCACCTGAAGCACAACAAGAGATCAGACACAGGATCATCCCGGCTCTCAGTCATAAAGTTGAAACCAACATATTCAGCGCCACGGAACAAAATGCTCTGACGAGTCTCAAAAACGACAAGAGCATAGTTATACTGCCGGCCGACAAAGGACGCCTAACAGTTCTAATGGACAAAACCGATTACATGATGAAGGCACAACATCTGCTCAGCGACACTAACACATACCAACCGCTGAACGAAAATCCGACAAAAAACCTTAGAAGGCAACATCACGCGCACTCTGCTAAAACTAGAAAATATGGGGTAAATCACAACATTGGAACACCGAATGATGAAACCGCAAGATTCGATACTACCGCGATTCTACTGTTGTGTCCCCAGGGTTCGACTTAGCAGCTTCTTAGTTTGCGCCACGCGAGTCAAAAGACACAACGCACCGGACAGGAAGTATATTTGCGAAACACTGCACGGGCCGACGTGGGTATGAAAACACTCTGATTACAGTTCAAATCACGGCTGAGTGCTAATTTGAATTTATCGCTCTCAACGAATCACGGGACATGTGAGTGGTATGAAACAAGCGATTGTAACAAATGTTCTGCCACGCAGAAAAACTCTAGTCTGATTATAACTGAGACTGTTCTGATACCAAGCACAAGGTTACTTGGGGAAATTGCGCACTTACCTTCCCGAACAAGTCAATTTGTTTCGTTTCTGTGCGCGTTTGACTTTGGTCTAACCTAACATCTACGGTCTACTAAAAGTACACAAAAGCTGAGTGCCTCACCGTCCCATCGTGTCGTTATCTGGAGCACCAAACTACAGACTTGCAAAGCAACTCTAGAAACGACTAAAACATCTAATTGCGGAATCAGAACACTCGATCAACTCGGCAGAACAGTTTCTAACAAAACCACAACCATAGAACGAGACGAAATAATGGTCTCTTTTGATGTGACGGCGCTCTTCACATCGATTGACATCAATTTGGCGAAACAAACAATGGCTGCTCTACTGGAGGAACACGCAGCTTTCGACACAGGTAGTAAAATAGACGCCAGACAAATGATGGTTGCTGGTATTCTGTCTAACAACTTTTCACTTTCAACGGCCAAATCTACCAGCAAATAAGAGGAACACCGATGGGATCGCCGATTTCTGGACTGGTAGCCGAAGCAGTGATGCAGGCGCTATAACGTACAGCACTCCCAATTACGAAACTGAAACTTTTTGTACGCTTCGTAGACGACATTCGTCATCCTCAGACGCTCCGAATTAGATGAGTCACATGAGCTAATCAACAATGTGTTCGACGCCATCCAATTCACGAAGAAAGAGGAGAACGATGGGCAGCTACCATTTTTGGACGTTCTCATACTTAGAACTGGTTCAGGACCACTCGAAACGACAGTCTATCAGAAATCAACACATACGGACCAGATGCACAACTACAACAGCAATCATCCAGCAGTCCACAAGCACGGCTGCATGTTAACTCTTTTCAAACGAGCACGGACGCCTTGTAGCACGCAGCAGCTGAGGTAGACGGAGGAAGACCATCTTTTCAGCCTGTTCAAAGAGAATTCGTACCCGAAAGCATTCTGCACTGCTTGACCCTCACATAAAGCAACACAGCACATTTCAACAAATGCAACGGCTGAAATGCGAACCGTATTATCACATCAACGGAATTTTGGAAATGGCAGCGAGACTTTTGTTGCCTTTATAAGTCAAAGTTCTCCACCGACCAACAGAAACAATACGAAATCAACTCTTCAAATTGAAGGATAAATTTAGCAAGTGGGTAACATCTGGTGTACTCTACAATATATGCTGCAGAGACTGTGATAAATACTACGTAGGACAAACAGGAAAAATGCTTGGCACACGGCTAGATACACATGACTTAGCCTTCCTCCGTCATGATAAGAACTCTTTGATATCCGTGCATATGGATGCCGAAGGCCACCAGTTCGACATGGAGCACGTCAAAATCCTCGGAAGAGCCACAAGCACGTGAGTTTATTGAAGCCTGGTATTCAAAGCAGAACTCGATCAGTAAGCACTTTGATCTCGAAGTCGCTCACGAGGCTCTGCGAAACAGGATCTTAAAGCCACACTGATGATGTTGCCCAGTCTGGCAGCGAAACGTCTGTAAAATAATCATTCAACTCGGAGAGCATTACAAAACCCACATCCACAACCCGAGCTACGGATATTCTTCACTAACCTAACCTACGTACTGCAATAACCTGAAAGTCAGGGGAGTGTGTGCAGGACTGTATTGCATCATGTTACTCAGCTCTATCGGTTTCGGACATTCCCCGTAGCTCAGTTTTCTTAGCCACGACTGGCAACAGTCGAGTTGCGGGTTCTGGTCCCACAGTGGTCGGATGAAATACTGACTGCTGACGACTCCCAAAAGTCTGAATCGGTCGTCCAAGGCTTTTCCAGATATATACTGTTTGTCTGACTGAGTTTGCACATGACGAATTCAAGTAATACTAAGTTTTGGCCGTTGGCCGATTGCGCATCTGCGCTGTAATCTCGAGGTCACTGGTTCGAATTCGCGTGGGTGCGGGTGACCTTGTGATGTACCCAGCCCTCACGCGACTGGAGATGGTCGCGTAGCAGCGAAGAATCCGCACGGTGTGCTGGCATATTGCCTTTCTTATGATGCTTTACCTTTCAAAATGTTTGAACGCCATGTTTACGATAACCGCAGCTTAGAATCACCGTTCTATGAGCGCTGCGACTCAGAGTCTTTACTCCTAACCTCCTAGTACTGTCAAATTAGGCTCTGCTATCCTCAGAGCTACCAAAAATTGTATTCCATTTTTTATCGTTTCAAGGACGTTATAAAAATAAAAGATGGTCTAATGCTGTGTACTGATTCTGACGTTGCCCTTCAGTGGTTGTACTTGCTGTCCAAGTGAGCATCGTGATACCAACTTTGTTTCTTACGAAAATCAATCAGCTTTCATTTCATAATCTACATGTGGAAGAACCAGCAACTGGTGCTTGTTTTTAAGCCATTTTGAGCTATTTGCCCTGATCTCTTAGGTTCGTGTACGGGTTTCCTTGTTTGGGACATTATTATAGAATGGCTCATCTTAGTACTTCTGTCCGTTTCACCCTGTTACTCGTCAAATCATTTATGCAATACTCCATATCTCTTTATGTGACATTTAGTTCTCCGCCGCCCCAGACGCAGTCTCAGTCAACCCGATACCGAATCAATCGGTCAGTCAAGACCGCTCCGTAGCAATGCGCTTCCGCGTTCTATTCAGACAACAACAACCGCACCTTTACCTCGTCGACGCTTCACTGAGCAACCCGGATCACGATCACGCCGTAGAGAGCATGCTTCCGTTCCCTCGGCTACTTACCCAGCCACTGAGTGTCATTCTGAGGTTCAGTCTATGATGGCGGAAGACAAGGGCCCTTTGGTGATCATTTTGCCCCAAGTCGAATCCATTTCTGCTCAAGTTCTGCAGGATTTTATCGAATTATCTTCCATTTATGTGTCCGGCCAGATCGGAGGGGTTTCACGTGCTTTGCCTCTTTGTCTAATCCTGGGCCTTTCAACCACTCCCGAGATCGGATTCGTGGCTCGATTGAATGCATCCACATTGGGTCGACTGCAAATGGAATATTTCACTGTTCCTCCTCCAGCCGTCTTTCTCGTCTCGGTCTTAGAAAAGGTTAGTAAGACAACTCACGCGAACGTTTTCTAACGCTCGCGCGCCTCTCTTTTTGTCGGTAAACCGAAGTCATCCTTAGTTTTCTTGATCGCGATAGGAAGCCGATCAAGACATTATCCGCAGAACGCATCCTTTTAACACAGCAATTGGTGCTGCAACAAAACCTCCGAACTTGACTACTCTTCTAAGTTGATCGGTTTTCCTTGCTTGAACGTTCTCCATGTAAGCTTTATAAAACCAGACCTCTGTATATTGACCACTTGGGTCCAGTCCTTTGAATGGCCATCTTATGGAGGTTATACTAAATTTGCCACCAACCGGCGTGTATCTTCTTGAGCCTCATGTTACCCTTTCGCATTTCCTTGCGACATCTCTGCTTATGCATCCTTTGAGAAGTCTGATGATTGTTGTATTCTCATATCTCCCGTGTTTATCCCGAGTCTTACTGATCTTGCCCGTTCTTCCAAACCCTCTACCTGTATTGTTCGAAATCGCTGTCACACGCGTTAAATTTATGAAGTCTTTTCATACGAACTGCTTGACGACAACTGTTCATCCCAGCATTGTGGCATCCTTCTGTGATAGTATTAATGTCTGACTGTGACTTTCTATTTCAACAAACTGTGCGGACAGGCTCATATTCTTGTCGTGCATTTTGTTTACTTCAAAAACGGGAAATACCGACTGGCTATTAGTCTGCGTGAAAGAATAGGGTATTCTGTAACTGTCTTCTGCACTGAGCTTGCCCAATCCTTCACGTTTAGGTCACGATCCTGAAAGAGTAAGTGGGGCTTTCCATGTGACCTTTATTCCTGATCATCGTCATGCGATGCAACCAATATTTATCTTGACAAAATTAAAAAGCTTGAATCCTCTTATGGGTATCGTTGCCTACAACTCGGATGATCTTTGGGTTGTCAGCACTTCACATATACATCAATTAATAGATACTTTGTTTCTCAGCAATGCACGGCGCACTTCAACAGATCTGGTCCGAAAATGCTTTACAAATTTGTTTGACAATAGCAGCAGCAATACGCTGCTGATCAGGCGGGGCTTTTAAATCGGCCGTCGCCTTTTCTGCCAAACATCATTTTTACATCATCTGTTGTAGATATCCCATTTTTGGAAGAGTAAGCCGACAGGCCAATTTACTTTATCAACCTTTTGAATATAAACGTGAGAAACCATGCACATAAAGTTTTACGCCAACGGAAACGAACTATGACGAAGGGTCTTAATGAACCCTTTTGCTTTTTGAATTGATGCAAATCCCAATGGTTTAGTTTAGCATTATGGGACCGTTGCGCGATGGAGTTATAACAGTGCGCCCTTCTCGTTTTTCTATACACTTGTGAATTTGACATTTTTGAAGTTACATCCTTGGTGCATCTAGTTGATAATGTAAAATGCTGAAAATACACGCATTTGGGTACACAACGCGTATTCTGACTTGACTTGAACCATATTTTCATGTCCACCTATAAGGGCGATTTCCGCCATCCGGCTTAAATCGCTGCATCAAAATTTCGGGTCAAATCGGAATTTGTCCAACGATGCGCGTATGCATGAAACAACATTTCAGAGAAAAAAGCACTCCTACAAATAGCATGTAAACAAAGTATGGTGAATGTATTACTTTTAAAGATAGGAACGGAAAAGGCATTAAATTTTGTTGGACGTACACATGAAATATTTGCCTTTTTCTCATACGTAACTGGAGAAATGGCCTTTCTGAACTGTTGATTAACTTGTTTTTGTATCAGCGGATAGTATAACTGAATACTGAGAATCGAGATCTAGGAGATACATATTTGTGCTGTTCCATCCTAGTTAGATTGGGCATGTGCGTGAAATCACGTCACTGCTTCTACGGATTTGCAACATATTACGGCTGCGCAAAGTGGGTGTCTAGGACTGGTTTGAATTCCGACACTGAATTCGCCTAGATTATTGTCTCGAGCAAACTGTTCTAATATTTCACCACTTGCCGCTCAAAGCATAGGGGTTAGATATATGCTTTAGGTCTTTTGCCATAAGCTTGTTTCGTTGGCCGCGAGTACTGCGTCCTGTGCGCACTTGCAGCAGCGACCTTAGCACGGAGAAGTGACCCAGATGCAATATCCCGTGCGCCATTACGGGGTCCACTCGAAACCGACGATGCGACTAAGTATACAGTGTAGTCGTCTGTATCGGTCTTCGTCCGCTAAACCCCGTAAATTGAGACCTACTGGCTGGTGTTGAGGTTAGTTAGCCGTGGTGTCCAGCAGCCTTCCAATGAGGCAGTGTTTGCACTAGCCCGTGGTACTTGTAAGAGGCAGGAGGAAAATGTTCTAGGGCTGTTCGTCAAAAAGTATCGAACTTTTCTTATTAAAACTAAGATGTAACCTTAGTCTCCCTCAAAGTAGTCCTCGTGTTTTGTCATACATTTTTCTCAACGTTTCTGCCATTGCACTGGAACACAGTTTTGCGATGGTATGCAACTGATCCATCACCTTTTGCATGTAATGTTCTTTGGACTGAAATCTGCTCCCTTAAAGTGACATTCTCAGTTCTGGAAACGCTGGAAAGTCACTGTGCTATGTCGGGAGAGTAGGGAGCCTGTCAAAGCACTGGCGCATTGAGTTTGTCCAGTAAACTGATCAAATGTGGAGAATGTGCTGGCGCTATTGTGATTCGCTACCCTGAGCTTACCTTGATTGGTTAAATTTCATTCAATGCTGTTGGATCGATCGGCTGACTTTTACGATTTTTTACGTTCTGAACGGTCTGATGTTTTACCTTTACTTCTCATAATCTACATCTGCTACTTCTCCGTTTTGCTCTTACACCATTCGGTATCGCGTTATCGTGACAGAGCTGCCAATTGCTCGTTGCCTACAAATCAGGGCGTTTGCGTTTAACGATACCACGAATGTGACACTGAACGTATCCAATGCTGATGCTCACCTCTAATACAAGTTCTCGAATCGTCATTCGATTATCCTGCATCAATGACAATCTCATTTATGGCCTATCGGATCGTCCTACAATCTCCAATAATGTACGGCCTTCCTTGAAACGGCTGCACCACTCTTTTATCCTTGTAGTGTTCATTACTACGTCATCAAAAGTCTTCCGAATCATTTGGGTAGTTTCCATTTAGGAATTGTCGAGCCTCGCACAGGATTTAATACAGCAACCTTGTTTCATATTTTCGAAACGGAAATCTGACGACACGCACTCGCACGTCCTCACCCAACTGCAGTTTGACGAAAATGACCTCCCTACGGCGAGAAAAATACACACGCATGCGCATAAGGCCCACCTGCCTACATTGTACCGAAGCATGTTTCCCGATTCTCACTAATTTTCGCGGGATAAGTATAAGTCCGATACATTTTGAACAGTCCTCGTAGAAATAAAGGCCAAGGTAGCCAGGAGCGGGACGAATGCGCTGGTGGTTCGTCTAACTTGATTCTGGTTGTGTTCACTATTTTCGAGTATATGTTATATGCCACTTTTCCCTTTTAATTGGTTTCTGAGATACAGCGGTCCAATGATGGCTCTGCTTTTTGAGCTTCCAATATAGACATGATACTCGCTTTCTGCTGGCAAGCGGCACGCATGTGTATGTTCCTGTCACTTTCGATCCACGTTGTAATGCATCTATTTGAAATGGATCTATCTTTTCTGTCATTCAGTATGCATCCCCAGCCTACGAATTCCGCTGATGCCATTTTCCCGCAACTGTATACTAGTTGGGCACTTGCAGTCTTGTCCCTCCATGACAACTGTAAAACACTTGTTGTTCGGGCAATGTTTCGTTCTTTTCGCTTGGTTCTACACTTCGTTGCAAGGGTAACTCTTTACGGAACACACAGAAACCTTCTCTTCCTTCCCTAGCTGATCGCTTTCCCCGGGTTCCATTTAACCCATCCAATGTGGACTTACCTGGTGGATTCGTTGTTCCTTTGTCTGGATTATTCGGTCCGTAATTTCTTACGTCGTGTACAGGTGAGTTTGGACAATCTGCCTTCTCCACTGCACATACACTTTGTCATTCTTTGCGTCAGCATTTTCCACCTTCATTCCCACTAGACCACTCACTGCTTTGGGAGGGGAGGTACAATTTTTTGTAGGGAATCAACCTCAATGATTGTTTCGCAATGCAGTGCAAGGAAAGCCAGATGTAACTGGACCAAATGTTGGTAACTGTGGTTAGAAAGGTTACACCATTCACCCATATCCCCATACTGTTGGTTCCCTACTGTACACCATTATTCCTCATTCTCCAAGTTAGCTATAGGTAAGCAACACGTCGGCTGTTGTGCCGCAATACGAAAAGAGATATATGAGAAAGCGATTTATTAATCATTGCGAAATACAAACAAAAGCACCTGTACTATGCTGTTATGCATCGGGAATGAGATCGTATCTGGAAAGGGAAGCCAATCGGGATGGGGAGGGGCCATTAAACTCACACACAAAACTCACTGAAGTTGGTTCTTCCTCATTCTCGATTCTGGATGTTACACGAGGCAGACTAGTGAAGGCATGATCAGCTATATACAAGCAAAATGCAACGATTACAATTTGATCATAGATAAGTCTTGCCAAAGTAAGGGAGTTTCACGACATGAGATGTGATTGTGACAGTTAGTCGACATCGCAAGTTGTTTCTGTGTTGAACTGGCCAAATGTTTTGAAATGCGTATATGTCGCTAAGCACAAATGATGATATATAAATTATTGCAGTTACGTATCGTTTCGGTGGCTCAAATTGTGCTTCGATCACATAAATTGATTTGCCCTTGAACCGACCGCATGCACCGTTTTCCGCAGTCATCCGTCATCCATTTTCCCTTCGATCGCGGTATGCTATGATGTCGATCTGCTTGAGTCACTTTGAATTCCAACTTAAAATAACCATGAGTCTCATGGGAGTAAGAACCCGAATGGTTGGTTATGGACCATCCACAGTAACTGCAACTTTCCTCAGGTGCCAGTCATCATGTCTGTGAAAAGTCGGAAAGATGGGCAACGGACAAGAGCAGCCCAACAGCCAGGCAAACAGAAATGCGGTGGAAGCTCTCATGAAAACTGAACGTTATGCAACAGTGGATTAACCGTTGAAACATTGTGTACCGTCTAACTTTGTTGCGATATATTGATTAGTTTATTTAAGTTCTTACAAAAGTATGAGGAACGGGAACACGCGGAGAGATGCGACGCGGGGCTTGGCGCCCGAGGACTGTAATGCATTGTAACGGATGATGGGTATGTGAGCGACAGTATATACGGGCTAAGGCGTTGCGTCGCGTTTTGTGCTTCAGTCACCATTACTCGTTAGTAAAGGCGAGCGATTAAAGCCTGGGTATTGAAACCAAATGCTGAGGCTGGACGCCCGTTTCCAGCAAAATGAATGGGTATTTAATGATTTCAAACCTATCTGAGCACCAGCGGATACGAAGAGCTGCGTCGCGCAGGTTGAGTCAGTCGTCCAATCTTGCTAAGAGACTCGAACTAATGCAAATTGAGTGATGGAAAGCTGGTGGTGGAGAGTGGACGCCGCTTTACTGTGGCGTCAAAAGAGTTGAAACAAATAGGTGGATACGAAATTATGGCGCTGCGTCTCGCAGTGTGCTTCAGTCGTCCAAGCTTGATAGGAGCGTCGACGGACTACAGACTGAATAAGGGGACCAGCGCTCCCATTTACAGCATCCAACCAATGGTGCTGTAACATGTACATGGTACGAGCGCATCAATACATGCGACGCTAAGACATCGCATGACGCATGATACTTAAGTCGTCCTAGATTTCTACGTGATAGAGGAGACAGGGTTGCGGTTCATTCTTTGGTCCACTCTGCCTTGATGAGATGGAACCTGCGTTAGCTACAATTGCGCAGTGTTCCGCCACCATTTGAGCCAGCCGGCGACCAGTCTTGCTGATGTAAGTGTCACCGCAACTGGAAGTGAACTGATAGATGATGTTAGGGGCCGAACTGATTGGTGAGCTACTCGGACGACTGTGAAGTGGAATCTTTCGTGTAGTGTGGATAAGTCGTAGTTCTGTGGTAGAGTGGGTGCGCATTAGAGCGGACCTGACCTCGTGACCAACTTTATTTGCCACACTATCCCCCTCGAACAAATAAACATCCTTCTCGGCTGTTTGTACTGGCAGCTTCTCCTTGGGGGGTCTGCTATGGGTCTGAATGAATTTCTCCTGATACCCATTGGATGAATAGCAAAGTCCGGTATAAAAACTCTTCTTCAGCCTTGAGCAACTCCGGACTGCAAATCGGCCTGGTCCTGTAAAAGAGACTTTTTACGAGCCTGCGCTTGTATGCAACTGGGACGAAGCTTTTCTGCACACAGTGCGCTGCAGTGTGCCACCGAACCTTCTCTTGATGCGCACGTTCAGAAACGACAGTCTATCCTCTTGCTCCCTCTCCTGTGATACAGAAAGGTTAGAGTGAAGTGATTTCAGGAGGGTAGAAAGACGACCAAATATGCACCATATGTGAATACGGGAATATCATCTACATAGCGCTTGTAAAGCTTTGCTTTACCTATGCAGGCAGCAACTTTCCTTTCAATCATACCCAAGAAAATATCCGCCAGAATTGGTCCCAAAGCACTATCCATAGCGACGCTGTCGATCTGTTTGTAAGTCGTCCTTTCAAACTCGAATCGCACATTCTCAGTGCACAACAATGTCGAATCTCGCAGGTACTCAAGAGAAAGGCCCACAGAGAGGTTCTGACTCAAAAGAAATTGGCATAGGTCGTCGACCGTTTCACGTAGGGGCGCATTCTTGCAAGATGATTCCACGTCTATGGAATACAGGAGCTCCGCGTCGAGCGTTGTTTGCTCCAGTATATTCGCCAATTCAAAGGTGTCTTTCAAACAATGCATGCTCAGGAGCTTACGCACGGGTTCTAAGAGCTTTGCTAACCATCGGGCTACTTTGTGGTAAGGTGAGTTATTCATGCACATTATTGGGCGTAGTGGAATTCCCACCTTGTGCAGCTTCGGCGCACCCCTCATCCTTGGTGTTTCCGTCCCTGTCGGTTTTAGCTGTCGATAATGTTGACTCGGAGATATAATCATGCAGCAAAAGAATGTCTAGATGCCTTGTAATTTGTTTCCCCACCAATATATTGTTGTCCAGCGTCTTATCAATACGAAACTTGTGTCCATCGCCGAGAATCGACTCCATTTTTGCGGTGTAATCAGCTTTGTCCATTATTAGCACACCCGTGTTTATCCTGCTGCAGGAAAATTACGTCCTTTATTTTCTGCAGATCCTTGATTGCAACATAGTGTTTCGACTTGAAGCAACATCCCTGACTAATAGGCGCGTTCAGGAACTGGTTCGAGATATCGACTAATTTTGCCCGAAACCATCCTGCGTCATCCGTTGTTTTCAATAAAGGTCGCTGATTTGATCGTATAGATATTCAAAATTAATCTGTGTGTGGAGCCTGTCCACCTTCTTCGGCAGTATTCGCTTTTTCAATCCCAACGAAAGAAATTCCAACTGTTCTCGCGTGAACCGAGCCGTTGACAGGTTGTACACATGCTTCTGGCCTGCGCAGTGTCTTGGTCCTAGTACGCTGGTGAGTTTCGGCAGAAAATGACTCAAATTTGAAACGGCAAACCAATGACAACTCATTCAAAACAACTGAGAATCGCTATATTGTCTCCAGTAAATTATGTTTTCGTTCAATGCCAGCATCGATATGTGCGGACGCAATCCTGGCTGGATTCACATTGTTAGCGGGCAGCTTATTTTTCGATAGGGTTTTAACAAATCGAGATGGAAATCGACCTGACTGGATAAATACATGATAAAATTTAACCCGTATGCGTTCCAAAGTGGTCTTGCAGCGCAACGACAGCAATCGACCCAATGGCCTCATAACATCAGCAGGGAGACTTCTTTTAAGAAACTTGAAACAATGAGTCATCTTCAACCACTTCATTAACGCAGTAAGAAGACATAGGTTGTGATATGTTAACATTTAGATTGCTCTCGAATCGCTAGGCAACACAGGCAGAACAAAACATGCGTTAAGTACGGTCCACACTTAGAAACATAGTTACGCAAATAAAATTGATGTGAATGACATATTCAGATTCAAGGCAATCTAATTGATTGCCTCAGTTGTTTCGGAGCACAGAGCAAGGGACAATTCAATCTTATCATTGGCGCCAAACCAATTGCCAACAACGTCCGGTTCCTGTTGAGCATTAGCACCTTGAATGAATCGATTGGGTTCACCTAGTGGCGAGTCGTCATTAGGTGTTTGGTGATAGACGAGGCAGGGTTCCGGTTCAATATTTGGTCCGCTCTACCTTGATGAGACAGAAACTGCGTTAGCCACAATGGGAAGCGTTCTGCCACTCTTTGAGCCAGCCGGCGACCAGTCTTGCCGATGTAAGTGTCACCGCAACTGAAAGTGAACTGATAGATGATGTTAGGGGCCGAACTGATTGGCGAGCTACTCGGACGGCTGTGGAGAGGAGTCTTTCGTGTAGTGTGGATATGTCGTAGTTTGGCAGTAATAATGGACAAAGCTGATTACACCGCAAAAATGGAGTCGATTCTCGGCGATGGACACAAGTTTCGTATTGATAAGACGCTGGACAACAATATATTGGTGGGGAAACAAATTACAAGGCATCTAGACATTCTTTTGCTGCATGATTATATCTCCGAGTCAACATTATCGACAGCTAAAACCGACAGGGACGGAAACACCAAGGATGAGGGGTGCGCCGAAGCTGCACAAGGTGGGAATTCCACTACGCCCAATAATGTGCATGAATAACTCACCTTACCACAAAGTAGCCCGATGGTTAGCAAAGCTCTTAGAACCCGTGCGTAAGCTCCTGAGCATGCATTGTTTGAAAGACACCTTTGAATTGGCGAATATACTGGAGCAAACAACGCTCGACGCGGAGCTCCTGTATTCCATAGACGTGGAATCATTTTGCAAGAATGCGCC